AAGAAGTAGCTTTACTAGAGCTCATGCAAATTAATCTTGCAGAAAATCTTGGCCGATCAAAGTTAACACACATCAGCTTTATCTCAGTTACCATTAGCATAATGTATAAATATTTACACGGCAGTGTATTCTTAAAGCTTTATTAGCTTTTTACAAAACGCCTAACAGAATGCCAGAATTAATTTCTAAGTTAATTTTAAAAAGTGGGACCCAAGTCCATTTTGATAGGAACTCTTTCTAAACAAAATACCACATACGAGTATTGTGACAATGTCCATTTCCTGGTTTTGATAAGGGGCTATAATTTTGTAAGATGTTATCTTTGGGGGAATCTGGGTAATGGGTCCAGGGCATCTTTCTGTGCAAGTCTGAAATTTTTTGTGAGTCTATAATTACTACAAAATAAAAAACCAAAACAAGAAGGTATGAGATACCCATGCTAGGAGCTCATTTTTAAGAGAAAGTCTCCATGTACCTCAAAACTATAGATAAGGTGATGAAATTACGAACTACAGTAGAGAATAACTTAATATATATTTTGTACTTGAGCCAATAGACGGAGGGATGCAGTTCTCTTTTCTCCAACTATGAAATGCTCCGGAAGAATCTGCTGGCCTCTTTTTTTGGAACAGGGCCCCTAGCAGCGACTAGACACCCTCTTAAGGAGAGTTCTTTTCATTACATAGTTAAGATATCCCTAGAGACCTAGAGAGAAATAAGCAACATACAAATAAACACGTGGCATTTAAAAAAGATAGGCAACACGTGATCGATTATTACAGCCTGGGAAGACTTCCCATTTAACATTATCTGCATTTCGAGTTGACTGACAAATGAGTCCTCTTGACCTTAGCATGTGCTCTCTGCCAGGAGACAGTCCCTAATAATAAATCCCTGCGGTTTGTGTGGTATTGGGCCTGCTGGGGCCTGGTCTCATGTTGAGGGGACAGCGGGCTCGAGGAAGCTTGCATTGGTTGTGAGAGGTTGACTGGAGCCCCCATTTCCTGACTTTAGGACAGTACTTTGTCACTAGATAGTACCTGCCTAACTAATCACAGTGCATCTAGTGGCAGCTAACAGCTGATTCTCCCTGCTGCTGGTCTCAGCAACAGCTGAGAGTGTGGGCCTGGGCAGGCCTGGGCCGGGAGAACTCTCCAGAGTTCCACTGGCTCTGGGTGCAGGTGCGGGGTGAGGATTGGGCTGGTGCTCTAGACGGCGTTTTAGTTGTGTGGCATTCACACTGCGGTGAGGTGCATTTGGTTGGCCACGAAAAGACAGGGAAAAAGCGTATTCTTGCAAAATCAAGGAAAAATGCAAAGATTCAGAGGGAAGCAAATGTGGAGCTAATTAAAGATGGGCTTGGGGTGCCTGGGGGGTTCAGTCCATTAAGTGGCCGACTCTTGATTTCGGCTCAGGTCATGATCTGGTTGTGAGATTGAGCCCCACCTGGGGCTCTGTGCTCGGCAGGAAGTCTGCTCGAGATTCTCTCTCCCTCTGCCTCTGCCCCTCCTCTCTCCAAGCACGCTTTCTAAAATAAAATAAATCTTAAACAAACAAACAAACAAACAAACCCAAGAAAGCAAAAAAGATGGTCTTGACCAAAATACAAGGACAGGCAGTGGAAGAAGGAAAGAAAAGAGGCAAAAAATGAGATGCAGATAAGGATCGGTGGGAGCGCTCCATTCACATCTCCGGGACCACCTTGGGACCCTCGGAGGCTGGTGCAGCTCACGCAGCGGGGGAGGGTGGGAATGGGGGGCGGGGGCGCCAGACCTACGCACCCCTGGGCTCGTCCCACCCAAGGTCTCCAAGCTGCTGCTTCTACCTAGAAGGATCTCTCAAAGCCAGTTTTCTCCGTCTCCGGTCCTGACATCTTCCCTGTCCCCTTGGCTTCTCTTCAAGCTGTTCGCCGTGCAACAGCCACTGTGATCTTTTTAAGACAAGCAGATCCTGTCGCTCCCCCACCGAGATCTTTGAGTGGTCCCTACCTTGCCCAGCGTCCATCCTCCTGCTGCCACAACTTCTGGCTTATGGAAGACGTCAGCCTTTTCTTTCCAGCCTCAGGGGCTCACGTGTAACTTGGTCAGTCTGCTTTTCCTACTCAATCCACCTCCTGCAGCTTTGAGTCCGACCCTTCGCATCTTATCACCTTAGAGAGTAGAGCCCCACTGTTCACCCCTTGTTGGCGCTCACCGTCACCACAAACCGTAATTAGGGGCTGCTTTAAGTTCTAGAGGGCAGGGGCGCCTGGGTGGCTCAGTCGGTGAAGCGTCTGCCTTCTGCTCAGGTCACGATCCCAGGGTGCTGGGATCGAGCCCCGCCTCCGGCTCCCCGCTCAGCGGGGGAGTCCGCTTCACTCCCTCTGCCCCTCCCCCCCCTCACACGCATGCGCGCACTCATTTTCTCTCTCTCGCTCAAAATCTGAAAAAAAAAAATTCTAGAGGGCAGAGGATATGCCCACCTCCCAGGACCTAGAATGTGGTTGGTACCTCCCAGGACCTAGAATGTGGTTGGTATTCCCCAGCGAATGTCTGTGGAACCCACTCCCCAAGCCCATTTCTTCGTCTGTAAAGTGTCCGAGATAACACCTGCCAAGGCGTAGTGACCGTGTAAGTTAAGAGTCCACGCGCGGCCCAGTTGCAGTTGTTTGTATGCAGTTGTCACAGATTAATTCCCTGTCGTGGGTATCAGGATGCCCCTGCCCCCATTTCTCCCAAGGGCAGAGATGTTAAAGAACCTGCCCAACTCATAATTAGGCGGAGATAGAGGTGGACTCCCAGCCCTGCTCCCTGACCTCCGAGCCCTCCCTCTTGACTCTGGAGGATACCAAGCACATGCAGGGGCTCAGTCAAGGTCACGGAGAGCTTCACCCTTGCCCGGGAGCCTGCGGACGGGTGCGAGTGGCTGGGTTTTGGCCACAGGGCCCAGGGGAGGGGAGAGCTGAGCACAGGGCCCCACGGCGCTGGAGAGGGGCCCTCACATGCAGCGGCTCGGCTTCCTCCTGCGTCCAGGAGCTGTGAGAAGCACGGCTGTCCTCCCCGTGAGAGGCCTGGGCAGGCTGGGCTTCCTCTGGTGGCCTCACACCAGACAAAAAGCAGAGCTTCCCGAAGGGCCCACAGCAATCCGGACCTAATCCTGAAACTCAGTGAGTCACAGCAAGCCTGTATGAGAGCTGATTTCTTCCATATGCTCCCCCTGAGGGGAGGGCCCCTCCCCAGGTGGCACCTGTTTGGACAGTAACACCCCAGCATCAGTTCAGGTCCCTTCTCTGAACTGTTAAAGGTGAAAACAAAGAGCCCGCTTTCACTGTGCATGTGTTAAGATTCAGTATCAATCGCTCAAATTACTTTTATTTTAGGGAATGACAGTAAACTTCAAGCATTTAGGAAGCTGTCAAAAATCTTCCCTTGTGCTTAGAGATGGCAATGCTTGTCAAAAGTACTTGAGACATCAACTTTTATAAGAGCTTAGGCAAGAAACATTGTTAACGGTGTCATAAATAGTATTATAACTTTATTAAAATGAAAAGACAATATTCAAAATAATGCAACAAAAATGAATAAAATCCTTTGTCCAACACTGTACACATAATGCAGAAATCAGTGCATTTTTCTAAAGCATGTCTTACCCTTCATTTAGTTCATACTAAAATATAAGCTTTAAATAGCTCAAATGATATCATTCAGCAGTTTAAACTGTAAACAGCTTGTTTAACTGTTAAGAGAACATTGTAGTAATGTACCTCTGTTAGTGAGCACCTTCTCCTTTGTGCTTATCTATACAAGATCCATACATCGAAGCACGTGGAAACCCCAGCGCATGCTGCGGGTCTCACTGAATCCAGGTGAAGCAGCCAGCCGGGAGAGTCTCAAAAGCAGGAAGATGCTGATGTGACCTGTGCTATTAAGACATACTGCTCTATTGGTCAGAAGTGTTTTACTTAAAAGCAAACAATCCCCGGGAAATACTGAATAGGAACCAGCAACACAAGGCCAGCTTGTGTTGTATTTGTTTATTAATACAGTCTAAAAACAAAACAAAACAAAACAAAAAAACACAACACACGCCCCCCAGTGACTCTCAGTCACACGGCTGTTTCTCGATTGCGTAGAACTGACATCACGAACACGGGCGAACGGTCTGCTTTTCCGCGGGAGTCGAACGTGCCCTCCCACTGCGGCTGCGAGGCCTGCACCACAACAGGCCATGTTAGCGGGCAGAACGGAGCAGAACTGTCAGGAAAAATGGCTTACGGATTCTGGGATCTTCTCACTTCTCGAGGTGTGAGACATGCGTGCACAGGGGGGAACCCGGCTGCCCAGCGCACTGCCAACCTCCCCTCATCGGAGCAGGAGGCAAAACCCGGAGGGACCCAGGCCTCGGGGAGATTTGTGAACTGGGCAGGTGGAGCCACGGGACGGACGGACGGACGTGCGCCCTGCCGCCGGGGGCACAGACTGCTTGCAGAAATAAAGGAGACAGAAGAACTTCATGGGCCCGAGAGCCAGACCCTTTCCAACTAAGCAAAAACGGGGTTTTTTTTGTTTTGTTTTATGATTCCGATCTAAACAATACTGTGTTTTCTTCCATTTGCTCAATTTTCGGTCAGGAGTCGTCCTCCAGCTTGTATTATCATTCTGAATACATGTTACTCTAAGGTAGCAACTAACTGGTTACCCTGCGACTATGGCCTGAGGTTGCCCCACAGGCTTCTACAGGTCTCTAACGTATACACATGTCAGAGGTTCCCCAGCCTTCCCTCCCCGCCTGCACAGCTTTACATTCCGGGCTGCAACAGACTTTTCTCCAACGCCAACAAAATCAGGGCTTCTCAGCACGAGCGTGCCCCACGGCTGCTGACCCTCTCTCTCTCTAACATGGAGGGTTTGACTATTTTATGCCGCAATCTGAACATCTCCCTGTGAACTGCAACCAAATGGGGAAGTGGCCTGAGAACCATGTGCTCCCAGGGAGCCCCTGCTGAACCGCGACCCCAGAGCCTAAGGAGAAACCACATAGGACAGATGTTTGCGCTTCACATGGCCACCTGGATCCAGTTTTGTTTTCGAGTCCAGCTTGTCTGCGGCTGAGGCGGCACTGCGGTCAGCACACAGGGGCTGGGTTTGGGTGCTTGAGTTTGTTTCTTCTGCTTCCCGAAAGAACTTTTCGTATTTGTCCAGGTACGGTGGTCTCTCAGGTAGTAGGTAATAATGTGTCGAGCTAACCTTCTTCCCATTTTCAATAATGGGCAGAATGCAAGGAACCTTATTGGCAGATCCTTCGCTGTTCTGTCTTTGCAGGGCTTTGCTGCTGACGTACTTGGGATCAGGGGCAAAGCTCTGCGTAGGGGGCATGACCCCATTGAGGTAAGACGGGAGGCTTTTGGGGCTGGGTGTGCGGGAGTTACTCCGGGATAAAGGTTCTCTGGGTGGTACTTTGGGAGGCCTATCTTCATCGCTGTAGGTGCTCGAAGTAACTTCTGCTGACCACCTTCTATAATCTGGCTTCACTGGCCTCGGAGGTATGGGGACCCTGGGGGGCACCTCAGGTTTGTCTTCATCGGAGTTTGGAGAAGCTCTGTGGATGTAGCTGGATATCCTTATGGCTGGCTTATTAAAGGATCCAGCCGGTCCTGAATGAGACCTTCTTAGTCTTCGGTGGGTCTGAGGCAGAGGAGGATTAGAATTCTGCACCCCTCCATTTTGGTCAGGGGCCTGGCTGAGATCTGCTGCAGAGACAGCCGGGGTATCGAAATATGCGTAGTTGATCTGTCCACACCCACGGAAGCTTCGCCTGCCGGGAACATCATATTTGAAGCCAGAGAGCGTACAGTCTTCTAAGAGGAAGTCCGTGTCCGAGCTGGTGAGGAATTCTACCTCGCAGTCTGTCTCGTCCAGAGAGAGGTCTTCTGAGATGGGCAGTGGCGGGAGGGGCCTGGAGCCCCGCTCACAGACAGCCGCGCAGGGGAAGGGGGACGGGGGGTTCTTTATGGGGGTGAGCGGAGGAGGAGAAGCACAGACCCCGTTCACTGACAGTTTCTTAAAACCACACACGACTCGCTCCTCTTCACGCTGCCCCAAGTCTTCGCCCGGGGGAATGATAAGAGGGGCCAGGCTGGGCTTCTGAGCGGGGCCGTTTTCTGCAAAGTGGCTGCCGTTCTTCGGACCAGATGTCGCCGCGTGCCCTAGAATGGACGAGAGGGGTGAGTAAAAGGTCTGCGCGTGCACACAGCGCTCTCCCCCAGCCGCGCGAGGCCGAGCCTGGCTCCCCGTGCGCCCACGGCTCTCTGCTAAGGCAGCTCACACCCGACGGCTGCCGCCCTGAGAACACCCAGGGGACAGCCACAGGTGTAATTAGGGGCCAGAAGATAGCTAATGCACAGGATCTGGTTCAAAGAACAAGTTATCTCTTCCATCTCCCTCAGACATGTGTGCGGTGCACGCCCACACATCTTGGCAGGTTTTGTGACATGTGCACAATTCGCAGACGATGAGCAGCGTATAATTTCCGTGACGACCGCACCACCCCAGCCCGGCCAGGTAAGAGATGCGGCGACACGAGGCAGGCAGGGTGTGGTGAGGCGACACCGGGTCCGCACCGTTAGTGCCAATGTGACGTCAGGAGAGTTTGGACCTGCTTGCAATGTGCTCAATGCTCCTGACAAAAATCTAAGGAACACAGTGTCCACGTCCGAAGTGCCAGGCGGCCCATCACACACTTTCCTAAGTATTTTATCCACATGGACACTACTTGATCTCCCTCGGATGCGTACCCGGTACTCGTAAGAGAGATGAGAGATCTCACCCGAGGTCCCTAAAAGTTAAATGTGGATCAGAGCTGGGATCAGAATTCACTGACTATGAGAGATCACACTTCCACAACTAGGTCTCGTCCGGGCATCGGTGACTCAGGATGAGGGCAGGGTGGCTCGAGAGACGGGCACGGTTCTCTTGAGAACCTGCTGCCACCAGGGGTCAGGCTCCTGCTGGGAACGGCTCAGGTGGCTTCCTCACTTCGGCAGGGTGCTGGAGGACCAGCCAGGACCAGCCGGGGCCATCCCCAGCCCCACTGCCAACTGGCTCCTCAAACACTAGCCCCGCCTGAATTTCCGGACACATACCAAGAGATGTTAGGTGCTCCTGAGCCGTAGAGTTGAGGCTGTAGGCCATGGTGATTGGGTCAATGTTCAAAAAGTGACTGAAAGGAAAGGAAAAACATTTTGGTCATAAACAAGGAGCCATCCTATTCTCCATCTCATTTTAACATGACGGGCTTGGAGATCTCAGGGCCATTCTGTCCTGCGCTTACTTTTCAAACTCACTGCGGCCGCCCCAGCAGGTCCTCACGGTCCTCATGGCTTGGCCATCATGCAGAAATCCAGTTTTTAAAGGGACTCTAATCTCCTGAGCAGCAACTCCTGCCGTGGACATGGTGTCTTAACTCTGGGAGGTCTCCACACTTGTGAGGCCTAGGGATCTGTTGTCAACCAGTAGCTTGCATTCCCTGTTGGGGGGGGCGGGCAGAGAAGAGATGAGAGAATAAACAATTCAGAAATACCCACACAGAGCTAATATCAGAGAACTTGGGGGGATGTGGGACAGAAAACTTTAGTTATAGACGTTCACTTGATCCCGACCTTTTGGCATGAACTCATCCTTACTTCTCATGACGGTACTTAAAACATAAACACTGAGAACAATTTTTTTGGGGGGGGGGGTTGGATACTAATCAAAGCTCTTAGATGTTTTCGGCAAAGTAAGGAATAATCCACGGCGAGCAAAAGCAGATCTCCCACCACAGCCTGACAAAACCTGCTCACTTGCCAAAGCGCACACAGTTCTCTAGCCTCCTATGAACCGACCTTCCAGAGTGTGGCCGTAGTGGGCAAGGAGCTCCCGGTCCCCCAAGCCAATAGGGTCATTTCACAGATTACTGTACTCAGACCTACAGAAGCAACATTCACTAGAACCCAACGCTTCAACGGAACAGGAGATCCTACACTGGCAGGGGATCACCCCACGGCCTAGCATTTGTTTGGATTCTGTAGTTCAGGGTTGGCCCTGGGAGGACAAATTCTCCAGTTACCACCTATTCGAGAATAAAGAAATAGATATGAAGATCCCAATTTCCATTATTCTGTAAAAATCAAGTTCTGCAAGGTTGCAGGCTTCAGCAGGGGCCATGGACAGCTTCCTCCTCCCTTTGAAAGACAAACTTAAAGGCACATTCTTCACATTCTCCTGTACGAAGTGCCTCGTGATTCATGCCTCGCTGCAAGGCACAGATGACAAAGGCCAAGTAAGTGCCCTTTTCTTAATCTAGTAGTTCCCCAGCGTGAGGACCCTCTCCCTCATCAGATGGTCTGCATCTGGGGTCAACCAGTAGCTCAACCCACACCTTGTTGCTAGAGGTGTTCATTAGCATCCATCTCCACTTTCTTTGAATCTTCACGCCTCCTTAGTGTTAAGTTGAAGCTTTTCTTCTTTCAGACACTAGGACATGATCTGTCAACTCTCTGTGTAACACTGACCCCTTCTGGGATGAGCACAGATGCTTCCTAACGCTCTCTCACGCTCTCCCCAAGCATGCGCGCAGCCACCCAGGGCCAGGCGGTGTGCTGAGGACTGGGAGGCGACACAGATGAGACATGCATGCTGGGGGATGGGGGAGGGGGTACACAGGTCATCTGTTTTTTGTTTTTTTTTTTTTAAGATTTTATTTATTTATTTGACAGAGACAGCGAGAGCAGGAACACAAGCTGGGGGAGTGGGAGAGGGAGAAGCAGGCTTCCTGCGGAGCAGGGAGCCCGATGCGGGACTCGATCCCAGGACCCTGAGACCATGACCCGAGCCGAAGGCAGACACCTAACGACTGAGCCACCCAGGCGCCCCACAGGTCATCTGTTTTATGGACAGAGCTGTCACCCACTAAACTGGGAGTCCAGGAAAGAGGCTAGGTCCCAATCATTAATCATCACTACCTGAAACATAGCAAGGGCTCAAGGACTGCGCGCTCGCTGAATGAACGACTATAAGCTACCATCTCATTACCACCACCATCAGGATCAACTGAGCGTTTGCCGTGAATCCAGCACGGGGTCTTTTTTTTTAGCTACAGATCTAAACACTCTGCAAGTGCTTACTGTTTGTTTTTCATGCAAAAACAGTAACGTTTCGGTGATAAAGCGAAGATAGGCCATTACTGATCCTGGCTTTTTACTCTCCCAAAGCCAGCTGCCTCTGATCCATGAGGCAGAGACATAAATAGGTGTCAAATATTATTTCAAATAGTCAAGCATTCTCCTGTGATCAGTGTCTCAATGATAAACGATGAAGAACAGGGGAAAGAAACCCCACCATTTTAGAAATCTTAAGTTATTGGGAGATGTCTTTATTTTTTATTTCTGGTCTTCAGACGTTTGAGAAGAAACCCACGTGTTTTTACTCTACCTGGATTAAGGAAAGCTACAGAAAATTAAAAACAAAAAACCAAAAACCCAAAACATTTTTAGAACACACTGCTCGGCGCCCCCTCCGGGTACCTGGCCTGGTGGTATGTGGCGCCCCACCCCCCAGCACCCTACAAGCACGGGCAAGACCACAGGGAAAGTATCTGTGGTGATGTAAAAAACGAAAAGCCAAGCTAGGAAGGAGAATATGGTATTTAAGTAGTTTGAAAGCACACGTTTGGAGATCGCTCATCCAGATTACAGAAAAATGCTGCGGGGGATTCTGGAGGCCCAACCCCCACCTGTCTGCAGGCCAGCAAGTGCTCCTCGTAATTACTGCGTGTCAGCCTCCTAATGCCATCTAAATCTTAGCTTTCAACAGAATGATTGTGTAACTATCGCCTCTGCTGGAATGGCCTCGGAATTCTAAACTCACATTTCGGTGGCCCCTTAAAATTATGTATGCATTCTAGAAAGTTATTTTTTATTCATTGTTTCCATCACCTACTTGTTAGCTTTCTTCAGAAAAAAATTTTCTTTAGTATAAAAAGAATTGTGTTCACTAAGCCAGCTCACTTCTGACCACAATAGTGTCTTTGTGTATTCATAGAAGGTGACCTGCCTCTACATTTCAATGGGGAATTGTGAATGGGACGTGTTATGAAACTGTCCGAACTTCCTACTTGCTTGCATGGGAGAAGCCGAGGAGGGAAACATAACTGCATATTCTCTTCTGGAAAATAACTTCCAACTACAGGCTCAGAGAGGGGGACCTTGCCATAGGTTTGGAAGCAAACGTTTTCGGCGTGTTCTTGGGAATGCCAGCTGAGGCAGGAAGCCACCTGCAACTCTTCCACGCCTCTCTCAAAACGCCCCAGGTCTGCAGTGTGTACCCTGCTGGGGCGGGGGCGGGGAGGGAGAATCAACCCGGCCAACCTCAAGTTAAAAAGAAACCCACCACTCCAGTGAAATTTCACTAATGCTGCAGTGTTTCAAATGTTGTTTCTGTGTAAACCGTAAAGCCAGCTCTACCTGACAATTCATTAGGAAAGCAACTGCAAAACAACCCTATGTGGGGAAGTCAGTCAGTATCTCTCAGCACAAGATGGCATTGTTATGAAATGCAAACTATGAGAGCGAATGTGGACCCAGGCAGCATGATGTCAAACAGGATCGGAATGACCTTGGGCAAAAGAACTTCCCAAAAATTCATCAACTAATCTTTGGCCTTTTCAGTGTGTCAAAAATGCAGTTAAGGGGCGCCTGGGTGGCTCAGTTGTTAGGCATCTGCCTTCGGCTCGGGTCATGGTCCCAGGGTCCTGGGATCGAGCCCCGCATCAGGCTCCCTGCTCAGCGGGAAGCCTGCTTCTCCCTCTCCCGCTCCCCCTGCTTGTGTTCCCTCTCTCGCTGTCTCTCTCTAATAAATAAATAAAATCTTTAAAAAAAAAAATGCAGTTAAATACCAATCCCAGATGGGAACTGTTTCCTACTAACCTCACTTTTTTTGAAAACTTCAAGACAAAAAATAATACCCCCTAAAACCATCTGTTTCTTGCTACTGCCCTCTGATTTGCTCTCCTTGCAACGCCCCCTTCCCCACCCCGCTCCTTGAGTTTGGATCCACTTCTGTGGCTTCAACTCTGCGTAGACAGCTCCTCAATCTCCTGAGTCTCCACTCCAGCCCTGGCTCAAGCTTTCACTTTGCATTTCCTATTGTCTGGTGATTATCTTTCCACTTGGATGGCCCTCTGGTATCTGCAATGCTACAAACCAAACTCCTGTCACTTACTTCACACCCCCTCCCCCTTCCCAAACCAGTTCCGGGTCTGCGAAGATCCCACTTCTCCTACAGGCACCATTTTTAATAACCTGAGTTGCGACAGATGCACATTCAATCGCCCAGTTCCATAGCCTATTTCTACACTGCTTCTCAAACCTCTCTTCCTTCCGTTCGCGGGCACCGCTCTGCCCTGGGTCTGAAAATACCTAAGCTGCCCTACACACCAGAACCAGATCCATATTCCTGAACTGCAGTGCAAATTCAGATCTTCCACTGCTCAAAAATCTTCAAACGCTTCTAAAGAAAAGCTCTGCAGGCTGGCCTTAAGGCCTCTCTAACAAGGCAGGCCCTGATCCACCTTCTTCAAGCTCTTCCTTCTCTTTCCCCTTCATCTCTGTTAGAATGCACCTTTTCCTTGGAGGCCATCTGTCACACCACCTTGTCCACTACCTGGCTCCCTGCTGAAAAGCCAGCGCGGGTCCCCATGTTCTTGGGTTATTTCGTGCCGTGCCCCGATTTCTTGCCCATCCTCCAAATCTTTTGGGACAGGACTTCTTTTCCCCCTCTCCCGTGTAGATCCTGGCGTCATTCGCTTCTGATATTTACTAAACAGATATTGAGAAAATACTCATCTCACTTTTAAAAAAGTAATGACATGACAGACTCACGTGTCCTGTAAATCAGTGAAGAACTAAGGGATAAACCTAATGTGGGTGGACACATCCCGATGATAATGTGACAAGTTTAGGTAACTAGCAGGCAAAGGATTTTCATTACATTCCTTTCCAAGATCTAAAGTGGACAGTTTGCAGACTGGGTAAAAACTCTACGCTTAAGTGGTTAACAGTGTAACTTTCTAAATTGGTTTCTATTACTGCACATTCACTTAAGCAACCAGGGGAGAGCTTTCTGAAAATAATGAATTTCACCCTCTCTTCCACACTGTTCCTTCTGCACCTACTGTTTTTGTGGCTAAATTTAAGGTCACTTTCCTTAAAGAAAACAAAAAAGGCTACACCAAAAAGTATACCATAGATGCTTTATTAAGGTGAAATCACATGCCTTTAGATTGAGGAAAGTCACTTTGAAACTTTTTTTTTTTTTAAACCAGGCTACCTTAAGACAGTAACCTAGATGTGCTTACCTTCCAGCAGATCTCATTAATAAATCTCAAAAGCAATCCACAAGAGGAGGAGGGGCACATTTTTGTCATACAACTCATCCAGTTCTGCCCAGCGCTTCCTTATTTAAAAGTGTGATGTAATTTCCTTCTTT